CTTATGGGAATGGTTGAAAACGTTGAATTTGAAAGGATAATCGTTCATCCTGTCAAAATTATTTATTATCAAAGCTTTATTTTCCGAGTCCCATCATGTATTGTCCATGGCTATAGTAATATTCCTTAGCAAACGCATCTTAATGCCTTCAGAACTCTTCGACATGCCTGCTTCATATCCTTCACTCGATAGATATGTATCGCTGGGTTTACAGCCGACACAAGTGTCCAAATGCAATAAGCATAAGCAAGAAACAACCTAGTTTTAGGGTTATTCCTTGTGAATAATGTAATCACCCAGGCAAATACTACAGGCAAAGACARAACAACATAAACTGTTTCTATAATGACCAATGTCCAGATACTTCTCTTGTACTTATTCCAATCCGGCAATCTTGAACAAGTGGAGTTTGTTTCTGTTTGGTTTTGGTCCCCCGAAGGCAATTGTCTAATGTCTCGCAAGGAAGACTCAACAGAACTTGGCAATATCTTAGAATGCGTTCTAATGCTTTCTTTTACTCGCGGATAGGTGGAGCTTCCTGAAGAAATGTCGGTTTCTTTTTCAGAGGATCCTGGTCTCATTTCTTGTCCAGTACATTCCGCGGAACTTGATATTTTTGAATGCTTAGTTAGACGCCTTAAGGATTTCACGTAGCAGTAGGACATAATGCAGTAGCTGAAGACACCAAGAATCGAGAGAACAGTTGATGCAATAAAAAGGCTTTTAAGAAAAAAGTAATAAAATACCGTCAAAATAATTGCAGATRTCCAAACTACYAAAAYAGCGATAYGGGCTCGTTTTATTGTAACTGTTGTTTTATATCTAAAAYCCAAGTGCGCAGCTAAATACCTATCGATACTTAGCAATGTAGAACTCAAGAGCGAGACCATTGTGGCCATCCTGCTACAAAATACATAYACAAGCCAAAAATAACAGGCTTTGTCGAGCATGTTGTTCATCTCCAGTATTAGAAATGTGACAAGAATCGTTGTAGAAAGCGCTACCASAAGATCRCTRAATGCYTGACTCGCTATTAAACCATAGGATGGYGACTTGARACTAGGTGTTGTCAAAATAGAAGCRATAAGAAGAATATTACATGAYGTTGCAAMAAGAAAAATTGCAATGTTTAAAACGCAGAGAACGATGTAGAACCTAATGTCTGTATGATTCGTTCTGATCCAAGGGTTGTAAATAAATACGCAGTTTAATTCCTTTATGTGGCTTGAATTAGCGGAATCCATCTTCGTCCGTCATGAGATATCTTTGTTGAAATACTCMTAGAGAAATTCTACGTACTTATCAATTAATAAATGATTTATGTCAATTAATTTCCTATCATATCAGAACGGCTTGACGATCCGCTTTTGAAATTTTTATCGCGTAGATTGTTTCAGCAATCGAAGTTATTGTACGTGGACGATCTGTCACTCACTCGCCCACTCACTCACTTTGATATTGCCTATAAGTATAGGCCCTTCTGCTTGTGTAAATATCATTTCCACATACAAAGAATCCAACCTGTCTTTTTTTCATTTCTTCTCTCCGTTATTATCAAATTCCTTTATAYTCCATTATGTTCGTATTTTGTATTTCTAATAAACGTATTTTCAAAGAAACATCAAGTCAACTGCTGGCTACAATACACGAATTTAACATCAGAAGTAATACTTGTCGTACACATTATATTTACGTTATGATGGTTGACAATAAAGGTGAAAATCCACACAGCTGTAGTGTTGGTGCAAACCTATTATTGAGTGTTCAATGCCTCAATTTTAATTAAATAATTTTGATTGGTAATCTTCTCATCGCCGACTTCGAGTTTTACTGCTTTTTGCTTGGAGTTATTTTGGAGTTTAAAGTACGATTTATAGAAACTATAATTCATTTATTTTTTTATTGGACTTTTTTCCATCTTCACGGATCAAAACAGATCTTCGACCTTATTCGTAAAATCCGAGGACTCCTGCTTGCTTCATTTTGAATATAGACTAAAAATCATAAAATAATATTAAAAACGATAATGAAAAAATAACTAAAAACTATAACAGTAGAAATTAATAGAAGGAAGTTTATGTGAGAAAAAGAGCCAGAGAAAACACGAATGCTACAATTCTGCAATAGGTTTTTTTTTAAATCGATATATCGGTTTCTCCCTGAGGAGCTCAAAAATCGCGCTTCACCCAAAAACACAAACACTCAATATGTTAAAAAATTTGCAGCTAAAATTTCAAAAAACGATTGGATTTTTTTTTGTCCATTACTGGAAAATCGGAATTTTCTTGGATTGCAACCTCGTGACCAAAATATTCCCCCAGAAAAGAACAACGCTATCGTAGTCATGCAGGATGAGTAAGAGAGACCAACAAGGAAGGTTTTGTGTAAATAATTATCTATTATTAGTAAATGTGTGGATCGCCCGAAAGAAAATTCGAGCTTCAACGGGAATCGAACCCATGACCTCTGCAATGCCGGTACAGTGCTCTASCAGGCCAACTATGTTTGCGAGCGGTTATTACATTGGGTGAACACATGTGATGAAGTAATGGTTCGAACTGCGGTGAATAAGTGTGTAATGAATGATCGTCTCTGTGTAAATAAAHAATAATATAAGCATTTCCCGACGGAAAATAAATTAATGATCGGGCGATCCATATATTCATTAATAAAGTCCAACTCTCGCCTTACGGACACCCCGCTAMAACGTAAACCTCGATATTGCGGACAGTATAATACTGAATCCCCGGCGAAAAATACAAAGAAATGACTGAAAGTAACTCTCGTTAGTACGGACTCTCGCTACTGTGGACACGAAATTACGCGTCGAGGATGTCCGTTATAGCGAAAGTTGACTGTAATTGCTTAGATTATTATTTACGCTGCGACGATCATTAATTAGACATCTATTCACCACAGTTCGAACCATTACTTCATCAAAGGAAATTTTGTAAATTAATCCAACATGGCGCCTATGACGTCACCGATGACCTTGAGAAATTCTTTCAAAAAGAACCAACGAAAAATTTTCATTTGTTTTTTATTTGTTGCTGTTTTCATTTCATGTCGCCAGTGTCCCTATCATACACAATTCTCTTTCTTTGACACTAGTCTCTTCGCCTTTATACAAATACAATTGTTATAAAACCAACACGGGATTCCTGTGTATCAACCAAAATGTTCCCACAATCCTTTGGAGCCGATATAAAACGTAAAATTGCTTGCAGGAGTCTATAAAACTTCAACGGGAATAGAAAACACGTGAAGTGAAATACAAATCGAAAAGGAGACTTTCAACAGTGTCGCATTACCATTGTTTTAATACTCGAACCCAGGACTTTTCAGCCATAGTGGACGAGTAGGAGGCTGGGTCGAGCATGGCTAAGGGTCTTCCAGAGTCTGTATTTCTCCAATGTTTACCCTTTCAGCAGCGTTAACACTGAAACCAAGAATTCTTGGATCAACCTTTTGCATTTTCTTCTTCTTTTTCTTCTTGTTCGCTGTTGAATCGCCTCCTTGGGCGTTGTTGTCTTCTTGTGACTGCACWGTCTGTGGTTGCTGTTGTGGTGGCTTAGTTTGTGTCTTGTGGTTCGCGTTTCCCCATACACTGCCCTGAAAAATACAACGAATCCTCTTGGTCAAATTTCGAAGAGGTAGGGAMTGGAAACAAGTCTGTCATTTTGTAGWGCAAAGCATGCCGGGGGKTTGAAGTCCTCCYACTWATAKCAYCCAAAWATCTCTCYAAAAACYGTTTTTAAGTTTTCATTGGAAAAAAAGGCACAGCTACTTGCAAAGAAAAATCAAAAAACGGATGAGGATGGACTGCTTTAGCGGATATGAAAAAAATGCTACCCCCATCATGCTTTTTGGYMAAAAATGACGTGACGACACAYAGCCCATTACTTAAAAAGGCACTTAAYGAATCAATCAACCGATCCCACAGATATCAATCGATCAGCCAGTCAGTTAKATATCAACCATCAATCAAACAATTAATTGATCGATCGATTCCCAAAATCAATAGTCTCCTTCACGGTTCCATGCAAAAGCACGGCCACTTTTCATGATGGCGTAGGAACCGTGAAGGAGACTACTAATTCTACAAAACAATAAATCATGTACATGTATCAATCAATCTATCTATCTATCAATCAATCAATCAATCAATCAATCAATCGATCAATAGGAGTACCTGTGATAGAGCAGCTGTTGTCTGGGTCTGTGGTTTAGATTTCTGTGAATAAGCTTTCTTTCTTTGATCAATAAAATTTCTTGCGAATTCATTAGCTTCTTTATTGTCGCCAATGTACGACTTAACATAATCGTGAATCTAAAAACAACAACACATACATACACTTAGATATAATTAACATGTTTTTTTTAATAAGAGTGCATACAATGAAAAAGAGTGTGCAATATTTTTTTTAAATTAGTCAAATATTTTTTTTCTTAGTCTAAAAATCGAGTAAAATCATCGTTTCTGTCAACTGAGCGTGTGTGAGACGTGGTGGTGTGTAAAACTATGTCCTCTTATTGACACACTCTAATCAGTCAATCAGTTTGGTTAAAGATATGTCGAGATCAACACCCATCCTCGGTAACCTAGGACAAAAGATTACTTCGGGGTTCCCGAGGATGGTGACAAGCAAGCTCACGTACCTCATATGGTGAATCAACTTCTTTAAGAAACGCAACAAATGTGGGAACTATGGAAAAGGAATGGTTTCATATTAGTTATAGTGTAGCCAAAAATAATTTCTAGGTTC